ATTATTTGAAAAATCATTTCAATAACTTTTTTTTGTCTTATCATTAACTTCATTCATAACTTTTGAAACTGTAAAGAATTATTTTGAAAGAATCAAGACAAAATGTTAATCTCTTTTTCTTGAACATTGATTGAGTCATAAGTTTTGAGTCGTAAATCAACTCTTTGTGAGAGAATTATCTATAATTTCGTTTTTGATTTGCTTGAGTATTATAAGATATGAGTAGTTATTCCTCTTGGTGGTCAAGTGTTAGGAAGAGCACTTGAAAGGTAGAATTTGACAACTTATAAAAAAGTGTTGAAGTATAATGAAACTCTTTAGTAGATAACTTGAGAAGAGGACATAGGCACAAGTAGGGATCAAACTTTTGTAAAACGAGTTTGCTTTCTCTCTCTCTCTTACACTTGCGTTTACTTTTACTATAGCTTCCTTAATTGTTTGAGATTGACAATGTTTGTTAATATTTATTACTTGAACTTTCAATATTTGCTAGTTCAACAAATTGCTTGGAGTTTGTATTTTTTCTAGCGCACTAATTACTTGAGATACATGTATATTCTAATTAACTTTAATTGCTTGAGAATTATCTTCTTGTATGGTGTTGTTGGGAAATTGACTAAAAAGATAAAAGTTTCAAAAACCCAATTCATCCCTTTTCTTGGGTTACCGTGGGATTTGGACCAACAGAGATGAAATATAGAAGTTGACTAAATGAGATAGATCGAAGAGAATAACAACTTTCCTCAAAGAAAAAAAGAAAAAGAAACAACAACTAAAAGAACAAACACAAGGAGAGCCAATAGTGAATAAAATCCCAGCGAAGGAATTATTTATATTTATCTTCTAATTTTCTGTTTGGTAGATACTACTCTTTATATAAGCATTAGTTACAACGAATAAGAGAAATTCTAAAAGAGAATATCTTAAAAATTATAATTCCTAAAACATTTTCTACTTAAATAATCTAAATAACTTAAGATACAAAATAATAATAATAATAATTACAAAAGATTTCTTTAATAGAACATTCGTTTCAAAACTAAGATTTTTCTACTCTGCGCCATTATTGGTTTGAAATTAAGCAAACTAAACTTTTATAGGTCTATCAACTGAATGAAAGCTAGACTTATTGTCGGGGGGTACTCCCAATGCCATGGATTTTATTTCAGTAATATCTTTGCACTAGTAGTAGGTATGTGACATTGAGATTAATCATTTAGTTTCGCAGCACAAAAAGGTCGGGCAAATTCACCAATTTGATGTCAAGCGAAACTTTATGAATGAGCTTAAACTCTAAGTTGGTTTAACATTCTATTCATTTGGTTGTTCTTTTTAAATATGTAGGGAAGTATTCAGGTTAGAATTAAAATATAATCACTTCCAAAAATATGGATAAAATATGTGGAATATGTTTAGTTTATTAATAGATAAACAAAGAAACCACTAGCTGCTAAAACCAATCTCTTTAATCTGGATTCCGCAGATTTAAGCTAAACATACCCTTTTTTCATGGTAGAATTTGCGCTCCAGTTCTAATTTCACCAAACTCGTACAAATTCTTACCAAACCAAAATACAGATCTGTTTGGCTCATTGTTAACCCTAGCAAAACCTAAGAGGCTTCTTTCAATAATAACGGTCTTAGGAAGTAGCCACAAGGGTTAGACCCTTACCCATTTTCTTTTTCTGCTTTAATAAATTTTTCTCAAGAACATTTTAATGCAATCACGGTTTATTTAGATATGATTCCGCATTTAGCATTTTCCTTAAAAGATGAATGACAGAATGTATATGCATGTATAATATAGTTACTTAATAAACTTAAATTGTTATTTAATTAGACGGCTGGGGTTTCAAAGAAAATACTGGTGGAGACTCTTTGAAGGATGGGATGTTGTAGTCTTCTTGTTGTTGCTCATGATTCGCAGACTCTGTCTCAGGATGTCAATCTCTCTTGCCTTCTTGAATTCTTCACGATCCATAGTAACTATTCTAGCCTTTAGCATTTCTATGGTTTCTTCTTTCGCCTTCACTTCCTTCCTCAGTTCTTCAATTATCTCTTCTTCTTCAGCTCTCCAGTACAAGCTGTCTCCTGAACATACAGTGGCACAGACAAACCATTCAACAAGTGCTTTTTATTGTTTGTTTGCCTCAAAATATTGTAATTTATCTAAACATGTTAAATTCTTACATAATAATGTAAACCTGTCTATTTTGTCATGGCACTGCAGTAAATCACACAAATAAAGGAAAATGATTCTGTATTACATAGGAGACTAAGTATTAGGAAGATATTTTTTTGCATAAAAAAAAATTAATGTCAGGATATTTTTCAAAATGAGACATTTTTTTGGTTGTTGTTCTGTTCTTAACAAAAAAGTATACAGAGGTAAGGTGGCCCATCCATGATTTCTGGAGTTTTGGTAATGTCATATTCAGACAGGTAATGCTAAATTTGCACAGGAGACAAAGTCATGTATTTCTTAGGAGTTCCGGTACTGAAGCATGAATTGCAGAATTTGTATGCAAAACTGAAATCCAATCGTGCTCAACTAGTGAAGCTGGAGTAAAAAAAAAAAATCTTTGCTATATGTATAAATAGCTAGTATCAATATGCTGTAACAGCAGCAAAATAAACTGAAGCATCATGTGCATATGTATACACATATATGTTAGAGACATAGAGAGAGAGAGAGAGATGATCACCATTTGTTCTCTGAATTAGATCATCAAGCTCAGTTTTGATGGCAAGATAGAGCTGCTTCCACTTCTCCACGGCCTCATCTCTCCTTGCTCTTTCCTCTCTCATTTGCTCCACCAAGAAACTACTCCCCATTATGAATTCTGGCCAGTAATCTTTTTCTTCAGTACTCCATTTCTGACTATCTCCATTATTGATTAATAACCCATCTTTAGTTAATACCCCAGCTCTCATTTTCTCTTCCTTCTCTTCCACCATCTTCCCCAATCTCTTCACCTCCTCTTTCAGCTTCTTCCTCTCCCTCTTCCACTCTGCTTCTTTTATCGCAAACACCATCACTTCCCTCTCGTAACCCCTCCTCTCCTCCTCTCTCTCCCACATCATCTCGTCAATTTCCTCCTGCAACATTATCATCTTCTCCTTTGACCTAATCTCGCTACTGCAAGACTTGTTATGACTATCATCATAATAATCATGATCACCCTTTCTCTTGCTTGCAAAACCACCCATTTTATCCCCACCCTGTTTCTTGCCTTTTTTCCTCACCAAATAATTGTTTGATCTCTCCTTGTTGATGGGTAACAAAAGAGGGACAGAGACTTGGTGGGGTTTACAAGAAGCGCAGCCTGTGAATGACATAAATTCCTTGCAGATGATGCAGAGGCTCCTTCATCAATGGAGAGCACTAATTATTAGGCCCTGGTCAATATGGCTATAAACCCACAAACAATTGCTAGTATATACACACGCTCATGTACGTCAAACAAACTAGGAGCAACTACATACATGTATATGTGAGTGTATAGCTAGCTTGAATTATTGATGGGGAAGCATAAAAACAAAAAAGAGACTCGTGAAGTGAACTATGGGTGTCTGTTCGAACATACACGACATTTAATATGAAACTGTAAATGGAGAAGGATCAGATTAGATATGATGGCTGCTCACATGCAACATTTCTGGAACATGGATTTCGCAATCTACTTATTCCGCTAGAATATTATGGTGGGCTTCCTGTGGTCCTACATTCTTTTGTAAACCACATTTGTGTTTTTGAGCTTTCCCCACCTCGGATTTGACTAGATTCTTAATATTATATTTTCCCATACAAAACTAAACTAGTTAACTACAACAATATTGTTTCATTATATATATCCATCAATTTTTCCCCCAGATATTCTCTTCTTTTCTCAAAAAGAAGAAAAGGGGGTGGATAAGTTGGCTGAAATCCATGAAGAATTCTTTTGAATCAATCTGGAGTTTTAATTACTTTAGTTATGGTGTTCTTGAGGGCATTTTCTCTCTCTTTCCATCGTCCATTACATCATTCACAAATGCGTTTTACCAGCAGATAAAAACAAGGAGACAATGTCCACAAATAATAGTCAAATCCATCAGTTTATGCTTGTATCTTTTTGAATTTTTAATCCGTTCTTTAACATGACTGACATAAGGAACATAACTTTTTGACAAATTTAGCCGGAGAGAAGAACAGAGTTCAGTTCTTATGTATTATTATTTCTTTCCACCTAGCTAGTTTTCCACCATGTACTGACTATATTATATATAGGGAATTGAAATATATATATATATATATATATATATTTTGGTTTCTTTGTACATATATGTGTACTACTAGGTAGCTTGCTTGTCCACATTAGCGCATCAGTATTCCAGGATAGAGTCTGGCAAATCTGGGATGGATCGGCATCTTCACTTACAAAGTGATACATTGTACATATTATACGTACGCACGTATGTATGTATGTATATATGACAAAGTATCATTATCATCAATAAAGATCGTTATAATTATAAGTTTGACAAAATTTGGCAACTGTTTACTGCTCATTCACATGGTTATGATGTGAATAGAGGTCTGTAGGGTAGGTTAGCAAACAAAAACTTGAGGGTCTTATCATCCAAATTGGCTTCTAGTTTTGCAGAGTTCGAAGTTTGCAGCGGAGTGTAATTACATGCATACAAAGACATTTATGGCGATGGTTCTTGGGATTCCCTGGCTGACAAGGACTCGTAGTTAATACTCTTGAGTCTACTCAATGTACACATATGTGTGTGTATGTGTATGTGTATGTGTATGTGTATGTATTTGTATGTGTGTATATATATATATATATATATATATAGAAAAGAAGCACATTGCACAAGGATGGCATGCATTATCATATAATGGTTGAGAGCGCTCGTACGCACATGTAGGTCCATGACTCATTTATTTTGTCAACCCATCTTATCTACCCCTTATAACCTTACCCACACAATACGGCTATCTTACTTTCACCCAATACTATTCTCCTATTCTTTCTTCTTTCTCCCTTCTTTTCTTAATAATTAGAAGACACAGAACACTCTTTAAGCCTTCTGTTAGAAAAAGAAAATATGTTCTTTCTCTGGATTTCAGGGGTGAAATTTCTTGGATTTAATCTGATGGTTGTAGAATTAAACAAAACGAAGTTGTTTTTATAGATTTTAACAATTCAATATGTACATGTTAGTAAATACTATCTATATTTTCAATTTTACAGTTTTATTCATGCAGTGGTTATCTCAATTTTCATTCATTTTGAAAATTTGAACTTTGACTTTTGTGGGCTTTAGAACAGAGGGGTTAGATACAGGGATCTCTTTAACTATAGTTTTCTGGGTATTAGGATAGAAACCTGCTGGGCTATTGTGAAAGTCTGCAACCATCAAACTTCTTCATGATCCAAAGTTGTTGAAACAAGAGTTGAAACCCATTTGAAAATCTAATAAAACAAGATACATGCATATATATATATATATATATATGTGTGTGTGTGTGTGTGTAGAGGTTTATATGAGTAGCAAGAACAAAAATAACATGAGAATTTTCGACTTCTTCTGTTGAAACGTTTAGAGAGAAAAAGTTCTTTTTTTTTTTTGTTTCGTTAAATCTTACATGTTACTCGATATATATATATATATATGTGTGTGTGTGTGTGTTAAAAGATTTCAAATTTTTATTTTTTTTAAAAAATGATTTTTATTATATGTTTTTTGATTTTGGAGATATTCACAACCGGGTATATTAGATTTAGGACAATTTATTATTATCATCTTTTAATTATATATTTGTCACATTATAATTAAGTCTGTAAAAAAAAATTTATTACAATTTGCTATTAAAGTTTATAAAATTATTTAAATTCATATTTTTTCATATAAATATGACAATTTTATTAGAAATAACAGAAATTCTTTCTTAGTTTATCCAATGAATTTATAAATTATAATAAGTAAAACTTAATAAATAATTTTTCGTATTTAAGTAATACATATAATCATAATAACAAAGATTAAGAAATAAGAATTACTTTCTCTTAGTTAGTGACTAGTTGCATTGTTAATAATCATATCACGTGTCACTAATTTTATACACGCTGATATTATATGATTAATTAAATTTTTATGATAAATATTTTAATTAATATTTAAATTATTTTAGAAAATAGAGAAAAAAAGAAAAGAAATAACTCTTTTTATAAAGTTTATAATAATTAGTATTTGGTGTTCATCAAGAAATAATAGTATTATTAGACTTAAATACAATTTTGTTCTTTTTATTTGATTTAATCCCTACCTCAATATTTTGTTAAATTAATTTCTATATTTTAAAAAAATATCTGAATTATTCTTTTTTCTATTGGATACACAAAAAATATATAATTAATTAAATTTTTATATACGTAATATTTAATTTAAATTAAAAAATTAAAAAATAATTCTTTCTGAAAAAAATTATTAAAAAATAGTATTTGGTGTTGATTGAGAAATAATAGTGTTATTAATATATAACTTGAATATCTTTTTAAAATTAAATTTTTTTGTTAAATACTTATCTAATTACTTATATTGAATTAAATAATAACACATAATGTTTGTAAAAATACTGACATATAATTTCATGAATTTGCCTAAATTTTGTTTAGTTATTTTAATTTTGAAAGAAACCATTTTTTTTAATAAAAATATCATATACTAACTACTACCAAAATTAATAATTTAAATTAAACAAAACTAACAAATAGAAAATTGTGTTTAATATAATCTAATATTAAAAAATATGTACAAATTAAGAACCCAAATAACTTTTTAAAAAAATATATATAAAGTAATATATAAAAATTTTACACATGGCACGAAGTAATTGTTTTTTTTTTTTTTAAGAATAATAAGAAATTTCTTTTTAATAAATGCAACAGTTGCAACTCCATGGTATTTTTGCATATACTCCACAAAATGAGGGGTAATTTAGGAATTAAGCACAACGATCTTAGAGTTTACGCGTTCACGTTGTTTTTGCCTGCAACCGGAAAAACGAATTTCAAACGAGGGAGAGAGAAAAGTCCAGGAAACTGAAAGCGCGAGAACATTCAAGAGAAAATAGTTGCGGAGGAGTGGTGTTGTTAGGTTTGGTTTTCTCATCGCCAGAGTATGGTGGTTCCATGTCCGCCATTGTAGTGAGCTATCTATCCTCTGTGTGAGCATTTTCACCTCCCTCGCCCGTGCATAATTTCGATTGAAAACAATTATCTACAGCCGTAAAGAGATACGAAGGATCATTACAGTCACCGTTTACACAGAGAGAGGGAAAAAGAAGGGAGAAGGTTGGAGCTTTAATATCATTTGAGTTAGGGCGTATTGGATCTTTTTATTGCGACGTTTCCTTTGGTTAGATTTGAAGAAATCGATAATGGATTCGTTGGTATTGGCATTGGCTCGTGGCTGGTTGTAGACGGAGCCTAGGGCTTATTGCCGCTACCTTGGATCCAAATCTGATAAAATTTGGCTGGATGATGGTAGGAGTCCCTGTTTCCGATTTTGATTGTCATGCATTTTTTCCCGTTTTTCTAGTTTCGGATTTTGTGTTATTACATTTTATTATTGGAACCTTGTTCTTCAAATATGTCAGAGCTTACTGCATCAATCAACGTTCAGTTTTAGTTTTCATATATAAAATAACATTTTATATGACGCTAGCTTATTAGTTTGGCGAGCTAGAGAAGATAATTATTACATTTTTTTAGTTTTCATTTATAACATGCTTTAAACATTAGAGAATTCACGTTAGTTCCGATAGAAAGTAAGAAATTCTAGATTTAGTAATCTTAATTTTCTCTCTTTCATTTGTAGTAATATGGGAACGTTCAGTTTTTTAAAAGTTGGATGCATTGTTAAGGGAACATTCAGTTTTTTAGAATTTTATTTCTGTTGAAATGATTATAAAATAGTTTACGAGCCAGCTGCATTTTTATTTATTTTCTTTTAGAATGTGAAATATAAACTTTGGGACAATGGTGAAAATGTATTCTGCAGCTTTTCTGAGAGGTAAACTACTAACACTTACTGCCAAGTGCAAACTAATACTAAGAATGATTCTACTTTTCTTTTTCATTTCTGGTAAAATTCTTAGGTTCTGATAGAAAAGTAATTATACTTTCCTTCTTATTGTTCTAGAAATAGAGGAGAAGATACTTAAAAGTGGAAAGTTCATTGCCCTCCGGTTTACTTGAGGAAAAACTGTGCTGATGTTAATTTCTTTTTCCTTTGAGTTATGTAGTGAAATTTTTAGGAAACCAAATTTTATAATGTTCATTTACGAAATACTTTGTAATAGGCATACAATGATGATTGGCCTTTAGATTTTCCTAATCAAATCTAACATGTTTCATAAGAATGCTGAGGGGAGAAGCATTTTTAACCTAGTGGTTGGAGTCAATCTGATATACATTGCTACTACGCTAATATATAACGTATATCTATACCTACAGACGGACAACCCATTTTTTTATTCACATCCTATGTTTAACATGGAGACTCAAGCTACTTTGACTTCATAAAGGATGATTCAATTTGCAGGCGGCTCCGGTCAAACTAGTGGTTGGATCTCTAGTTTGGGTTGATGATCCAGAAGAAACTTGGATGAATGGGGAAGTCCAAGAAGTTAATGGTGAAGAAGTAACAATAAATTGTTCATCACGGAAGTCTGTGAGTGCTTCTTTTGACAATTCTCTTTTACATTTACAACATGTAATGGAGACTATTTTTCTATCAAGACTATTGAACTTCTACAACTTGGTTACTGAGCAAAAGAGGGGATATTCCCTGCAAAGTTAGAACCGCTATCAAGTAATTTGATGGGCTGTGGCTTGAATGGTTCTTTTGGGGTTGATGTTTCGTAAATACTGGTTTCTAAATTTTCTTCTTTTGTTCAGTGTCACTTTGTATCCAAGAAAAGTATTATTTTCACTTAATAATTTTCTATGGAGAGTCTGTTTTAGTTGTATAATGTTGGTTGTTTATTTATAAAATTTGGTGCTTACTTTCTATTCATCGGCATGTATCTTTTTTTTCTTAACTTTAGGTTGTTGCCAAGACATCTGATGTCCATCCAAAGGATCCTGAATTTCCTGAAGGCGGTGTGGATGACATGACAAAGCTTGCATATTTACATGAACCAGGAGTCCTGCATAATTTAAAATGTCGATATGATACAAATGAAATATATGTGAGTATATGCTGTACAATTCATGACCATCTTCTTATTTCTAACTTATTGTTTTAGTAGATATAATTTATACATGTCAGGTGTTAATTATGCTATCTATTTCACGCCATTTTGGCATAATTTTGAATGTTTTTTTCTCCTTTTGTAAGAGCCATGGTAGAGCCTTCTTTTTCCAATCTCTAATCTACATTGAATTCTATGGTGCTCAAGTCACTTGAAATTTTGTGTTCTTAGTCAACTTTGAGCTAAAAGTTCTTATGTTGATGCCAGACTTACACAGGGAATATATTGATTGCTGTAAATCCTTTTCAAAGGCTACCACATTTATATGGTAATGATGTAATGGGCAAATATAAAGGGGCAGCCTTTGCTGAGTTGAGCCCGCATCCCTTTGCTCTTGCAGATTCCGCATACAGGTAAATATTTTCAGATGACTATCGGTTTCATTCGCAGGTGTTGCAGGTTTCTATAGTGTCTCACAATCATTTAACAATTTCTCCTGCAGATTAATGATCAATGAGGGAATAAGCCAGTCAATTTTGGTGAGTGGGGAAAGCGGAGCTGGTAAAACAGAGAGTACTAAGATGCTTATGCATTTTCTTGCTTACATGGGAGGGAGAGCTGGGAATGAGGGGCGATCTGTGGAGCAGCAGGTTTTAGAGGTGCTTAAGTTTTCTTTATACATTACTTTTTTATTCTTAAAAAAAAATTTCTTTTCATCCCTGTCTTACATATTTATTTTTTCATCTTGGTGGAATATCAGTTTCATACTTCAATTGTTGGTTATAAGATGTCATAATTTCTTCTAGAAAATTGAATTAACAGAAATAACCACTCATGTTTATTTCATATTTTCTTCCTTTTTCTTGTTTGGTAGTCTAATCCAGTTCTAGAAGCTTTTGGTAATGCAAAAACTCTCAGAAATAACAATTCAAGGTGGGTACTGATTAGATCCCAAACTTCGTTTCTCCTTCAGTTTTATAGTTTATCTGGAAATCACCTTATTCTATCAAAAATAACACTGAACTTAAGTAATATATTTGCAGTCGTTTTGGTAAGTTTGTGGAGATTCAATTTGATCAAAGTGGGAGAATTTCAGGAGCTGCTATCAGAACTTATTTGCTAGAAAGATCCCGTGTTTGTCAAGTGTCTGATCCAGAGAGAAATTATCATTGCTTTTATATGCTTTGTGCTGCACCAGCAGAGGTATATGAAATTTCTTCTTTAAGTTTATAGAGTGGAGACTTGATCGTCTAAATGAGATGGTGTTGATAATGATTAGCGCAACGATAGATTTCTTCTGTATGACAACCTGCAATTTTGCTTTTTTGTTTTTCTAAAGAACTTGCAGTTATGCTTTGGCTTATTTGTTCATTGCCCTTCCCTAATGCAACCGACATTCTTATTGTAAACATGATGCAAAGACAATGTCAATGATTTTTTTTTTTTTAGGTTTATTATGAAAGTGCAAATCTAAAACTGTGTCAAGCAATTAGCATGACATTATTGGTTACAAATATTCTTGGACTAGATGGGTACTATTAGAGTAGCATTACTTGTCCAATTAAATTTATGCTCCACACAATTCATTAGTCAATTAATTCAATTTAAAATGATCTTTGGAGAGGATGGTGTTTTTGCTTCTTTTCAGCTAAATCACACATTTTTTAGGGTGTTTCTTCCATATGATTTTTTTTTAATGAATAAATGATAAATCGAATATAACTCATTGTGACTATCCAACTAATGTGACTATCCAACTACGAAATCTAGTTGTATCATATGTTCTTCTATTCAAAAACATGA